TGGCCATAGGATTACCTGACAACATCATCCAATAACAGCCTCCAATTGCACTCTTCTCTGCTTCATGCTACTCTTGATACCTCTCCAGTATATTTTTCATCAATACATTCTTCCAATGACTGGCATAGCTTCCTGGGGTCCGCCTTTCATTCCCGACAGCTCTTTGGACGTCCTTCCACTTGATATCCTTGGTAATTACCTGCAACATAGCTGCGATTTCCCTCCGGCGGAATTTGGTTTCTGAAGGGCCGCCAAAAACTCCTGCTGACGTACTGTTGTTTGCACGTGGCTTCCTCGGAGCACTCCGAGACTTCTTTGGCTTAGGGTCGAGGGACTGAGATGCAGATCGACGCTTTGTAGAGCCGGAAAATAGGGGCTGGGTTGTGTTCCACATTAGTTTTCCTTCAGCCTACTGACGGCTAACTTAGATGACCTACTTCATCATCTCCGGAACCTATTTGTATCAATCCCGGATGTGCGTGATACTCAGAATGTGGTAAGTTTCCCGACATCTCCCACCCAGGCAAATACCTAGCACGCTCATCACTGAAAGTATTACAGGTCATCATTTGGGCATTTTGAATTCCATCTCTAGTACCCATGGACAAAAGTGGCATATCGTGGAGTCCTTGTTGGTTGGCATTTGATTGGGGAGCTGCTTGGGAATTTTCGCGGAATCGTGGCGGAAGCAGTGACTGAAGTAGCTTTGGACTGAAATTGGCCTCACCAGCTCTGGCATACGGAGTTTGGGAGTGAATTTTCCCGTTCGAGTGGAAATCTTTTGCCACTCCATCCTGCTTGCCCTGTCAATTGAGGCACAAACAATTTCGGTTTAAGACACATACCTTCTGTGATACATTTGTCACTCTGGATCCCACCGCCCCGGGGGTCCTCTTTAGCAGGATTTTCTGCGAGGATTTCCCCGGCTTCCTTCCCCTCGATGGACCTTTCTTCCTAGCTACAGTTCGCTTTTTCTCTTTGCGCCCCATCTCTTCAATTTCAGATATACCCTCATCCCCATCCATCACTCCGTCGTCCTCATCTTCTGTGTCCTCCCTTTCAATCTCGAAATCCTTATCGTTGTCATCATCAATCTCATCAATCTCATCGATTTCATCAAAGCTGGCGATTAGTTCATTATTTTCGTTGTAGTTCTCTGGTGCTAGTAGCACAGCGTCCTTTCTGACCACCTTTGCCCTGGCTGTACCAAATTCTGCTGTCTCCGTGCTACAGATGATGGTCCCCTCGGCTTCTTCCTCGTTTGCTAGTGGATTGTAGCCCTCATGAGCCTCGTCACTCTCGTCCTGAAGTTCTTGGTGAACTTCCTTGATCCGGGCAGCCCCAGCAATTGCTGCTTGTCTCCGAGGACGGCCGCAATTAGTGAGAATAGGTACAGGTACGGTCCCGGACTTTTCTTCAGTGTCCTGGTAATTGGAAGTGCAAGTGATTATTGACGGGATTTCTGATTTATTTCATGTATTTAGATTTGCCCTCCTCGATGCCATATTAGTACTCAGAGACCACTCACCTGCGTTATTCGACTTGGCTCCCTTGTTTTCAGCCCCCAGCCTCGCATTTGCCACCTGTTCTGCAACCACTTCATTTGCAACCTTCACTGGATTCCTTGAAGTTTGCTCGTGATTTCCTGTCGCATCATGACTATGAGGAGGGGCTAGAACATTTCCAGTGCTAGGGGCCTCGTCAACTGGCTTCACAGTGATGATATCATATACTCTTTCCGCCACGTGAGGGTTTGATGGCGGCTGGCCCTCTTGAACACTTCCTTTAGATCGCGTACGGAGCATCATCGGAGAATGTGGAAACAGTCCCGGGGTTGACCTCTGACTCATGGATAGATGGTTCTTTGAAGCCAAAGAGCAGTGGAGAGAGAGGAATAGAGAGTCCTGGTAGGGATTTCCTAGAAGTTTGCTGTCGTCCATTAGAGTTGGTCCTTGTTGAGTTACGAGCTGGGGGCCTCCATCCACATAGGAGGAGTCGTCACAGTTGTAGTATCAAACAAAGCCGCAGAAAAGAAGGGAACGTGCATCATGGCAATATTAAATATACATTCCAATCGTGAGTGCGTAAACTTGCTACCTCTAGATTGATGTCTAAAAAAGATTACTTAGAACAGTTTGCAAATTCGCAACCGTCCATTTCGATGCCTGCCCCTGAAAAATATTCAGCATCACGTGCCAAAATATAACATCTCACAACATAAGAGGCTCAGTGATCAGTCCTCCATCGGCTTCCCTAGGCAGTTATGATTCTATTTATATCGGTCCCCCAGTTGGTCTCAACTGCTCTGTATTTTCTGCCGCCTTTTCTTTCACCTCTTCATCTTTTGTACCCTCTACCAGTACTGCCCCACAACTCCCACACACCTTACCCACCTTCCCATCATCGCCACCATCACAAACACTCATGTCAGCAGCGACGATAGTGCCATGCTCCCCACCGTTGTTGGGAAAAGAATCATACATTTGCCTCAATACCACGGTCCCATAAAAGGTGCGTAAATTGTCTACATTTCTATACACCCCAGTCGCTTTGCCGACTTCCTGGACTATCGTATTCCAGTCATCCCTGATGCTGTTATTAATCCAAGTTTGCAAAGCACGTACTTCGGCCCGGGTGTACGATCCTGCGTGTTGGCGACCTTTATGCTGGGAGGCAGCTTGCTTCGGTGGTGTTAGTTTGGGATAACCGAGAGGTGACGGTAATGCAGAGGTAGAGCGAGCTGAGTGCTCGCCTTCTGTAGTGGAGTTGTTTTTTTTGGCACGTTTTGCGGGGAGCTTGCGAGGGGGGGGGGATTTAGCTTGAGCCTGCAAAATGGTTAACATTGGCACTGGAAATTTGAGTGGAAGTGGACATATTAATATACCTTGGCTTTCTTCCCGACACTAGGCCCATTGTCGTTACGTTTAGTGTTCTCAGCCTTTTCACGAGCAGTCTTGCCTCGCTTTTTCCCTTTGGGAGAAGCCTCGGTGGCATTATCTGCTGTCTGAGGCGAGGGTTTATGCTCTGTTGACTTTTCTTTTACAGCTTGGGGGCCTACATCGATGACCATCGGATCTGAAGATGAAGATCCTTGTATGGAGGACCGTTTTCCACATTCGGACGACATCTTGATTTGTGTTTGATGGGGATGGGATTGATGTGAGAAAGATGAGATGTTTACTGTGGAAAGTGACTTGCAGATTTCTTCTTACTTTACATTTACAATGCAAACAATACCCGGGCAACGAGAATGCCCTGGGGTCTACAGAGATTCCAGCCTGCATATTTACGAAGTGCGTTTGCACCCGTTCGAGACTACTTACGGATAACGACTTTTGTAGCAAGGAGTGCTTAGGTAGTGTCTAGAGCTTGTTGGACTCTTTTCTTGCATGAGTGTGCCGTATGCGCCATGGGCAAACTTTAAGTGTTTGATATCTTTGGGTGCAGCTCTCAGAAGCTTACATGGGTGTGTGTATGGGGTCACTGCCCGTTCTCGTGTGGGCTATTAGTGCTTGTTGTGAGCTTTTCATCCGCGAGCTTTTCATCGTACGAGAGGCGGTGCCCGCCAGAATCTTTTTCCCATTCCTATTGCTACAATGATCTAAGCACTACACCAAATAAGTTGGTCTGGGCACGAGAACACGCTACAACAATAACATCAGTCTCGAAACAACCCCCTCACCGAATTATCGACTCGTGCTATTCTGAATTTCTGAATGATTATTGTGAGTCTCTAATCGGCAACTAGTCAGTCTGTTGTCTTCCATATCTGGTTAGCAATTTTACGGCGGACTTCCTCATCAGGTAGTCGGTTACCCCTGTCCCGAAAGCCCAGACTACTATGTCACATGTATGCACGTTGCGGAGGGTTCGAGCTCGAAGGGCGCATGTCAACGTGTATGATATCGATTTTAGCATTGGGTGTGGGCGTGGTACTGTACCTCTCATAGCAGGCTGTAAAACCCTCTTCACGATTGCTATCCTTGGGCTAAGTTATCTATAAGTACTTACGATATGGGTTGCATATTAAATGCGACCATCAGATAGTCAGGTTCCACCAGGTTGCTACCTGAAGGATGTACTAGTACGGAGGTGCACACCAAATGTTCCTTTCTTCCCTATTTTGAAATGTATGGGATTAGCGCCAAGAAGGAGGAAAAGAAGTGCACCTCGTATGTACACGCGAAGTTGTAACCAGACTAGGGCACCGGGCCTCTCGTAACCAATGCGTGCACAGCCGTGCTCGTAGTCTGGTTGCACTAACTACCCCTCGCAGGCTTGGAGGGTGTTGTGCCAACCAGACTACCAAGCTCGACGTCGTGACGAGGGGTAGTGCAACCAGACTAGGTAGATGCGCCCATGTTCTGCACGTGCAATTACAGAAAGCAGAAAACTAGTCTGAATAGGGGTGCTAGTGAGTTAAAGGTTGTTATAAATGGACGTTTACAGTTTGTATGAAAAGCTATACTAAAATATTGTCAATCATGGATGGTTGGCCGAGTGGTTATGGCGACAGTTTTAAGTATGTCAAATACGATCACTGTTATCGAGAGATGCAAGGGTTCGAACCCCTTACCATCCAACATTATTTTTATCTTTTATTTTTTTCTTTTTTGATTTCTAGATGTATATAGTACTCCCTAGTTAGAAGCTATTTCCCGTGTACAGGAAGCCTGGTTCCTGTGGTAGTCTGGCGCTTAGTGGTCCATATGATACGTTCACATTTCCGTAAAATAGATCTTGACTTGTCTGGTTGGCACAACGCCCTCTGAAGATGGCACAAGGGGGTCTTGACGTTCTCTGCCTATAACTGATGGTTGCCTGCTTCGTGTTGTCTATGGGCATTACTCACGTTCTTTGCAACTGAGTCCTAAAAGCAATAATCCCAGCTTTTCGGAGGCTACTCGCTAGACAATAACGTCAGCGAGCTAAATTATATCAACCTCTGGTAAAAGAAGCTGCTTACCAAAACAATGAGAAAAAAAAAGAAATACAAGAAGTTCCGTCGCCGGGAATTGAACCCGGGTTCTGAGAGTCCTCACTTTCGGCAATCCGCGAAACTATGAGAGTCTCAAATGCTAGCCACTACACCACGACGGATATGATCATGTGATAATATGGGAAGCTCCTACCTTATATTGTGAGTATTTGCAAACCGGAAATACCCCAGATGAGTGAAACTAGTCTCGTAAACGTTCTTTAAAACGATGGCGAGAAATAAACGTAGCGCTCCAATATTGTGACGGGAACTAGTTGTCTGAGCTCTACGAGAGGCGGTGCCCGCCAGACTAGTCGTCTGACAGGTTGGCGAGAACAAATTATGGCGAGACGTCTGGTTGCAGAGCGTAGAGCTAAGCCAAAGTGGTTGCCAGGCCAATTTCAAATCGACACTATGAAGAATCTGATAAAGCCCGACGGAACTACTTACCGAAATCCCACTTCCATGCCAACCAGACTAACGATATCCTACATCTCTATATCCACCTAGTCTGGATATCCACCTTGCACCTTCCAGCAATCGAATATATCCCGAAATCGTGGAAAGAAGGTAGCTGAATGTATACGGCTGTCAAAGCTCCGCATCACCTTAGTACTTGAACACATCGTCAATCTTACAGGCTGAAGCTCATCGCCGCAATGGAAGCTTCACCTCTCACACAGGCACAAGATCCCGTGTTCCTCAGTCCGCGAGCTGTAGCTTACTTTGTTTCCCGCAGGCTCACAACCATGTCACCAAAGCCGCCCAACTCACCTCGTCAGGATCTGCTAACAACCTCACTCCCGAAATCCTAAAAGAAGCCAGCAAAGAACACTCATTGGCAGCAGACCTATTCGAAAAGGCCGTCGACCTCACCACTGATCCCGAGGCACGGAGGACCCTTCACCTGATGAAAGGACACCACCGTAAACTGTCCCAAGCGTTGACTGAAGCTGCGACGGTTAAGACGAACTCAAAATCATCTGTGGGGGGGGGTGGAATAGATACTCCTATCCTGATACGCTCTGGCTCTCCTGGTCCGATGGCCCATAGCGAAACTCCGACACTCAGGAGAGGGGGCAGCTCGAGCGCGGAACCGGATCTGTCACCTCAGGGATTCCCACCTCTCTCCCACCCCGCGTTGTCAAATACGTCTCGGTTGGGAAAGTCCACATCATCATTACTCGCGAGTAATCTGGCAAGTAAGAGAGGAATACCACTAATGCAAAGCGCCCTATCACCAGTTCTCTCACCAGCAACAACCCCCGGAGCATCGGCACGACGTGGGAATGATTTCTTTACAAGTAATCAACTTAATCAACATCTTGATTCTCAACGAGGGCCATATGCTGGAGTAGGGTCCAAGCCCCGCCGGGGGGGCGAGCAGTTTAATCGCGATAGCAATAAGCAAGCAGAGGCGGGATTTAATACATTCTACACCTCTCTTGAGACTTTCGTATCGCGTATTGGGTCCCCTCTTGCGGGTCCATTGGGTTTTGCGGGAATGGATTTGAACCCTGACCCTAAGGAGACTTCTGCTTCATCACCGACGACGGATGGAGAATTGATTGATGGGTCAACCGTTCCTGCTCATACAGATAAGGATGGACATAGCTATGGCTATGGTGTTACGGAGATGGTGCAGAACTTGATGCCCAAGGCCTGGTGGAGTGGAAAGGACCAGGCTCAAGCCAAGCCGAATGTGAAAGCAAGGGGTATATTTAGCGCAGCAGGTGGTGGGAGGGCAGCGAGACCTGGGTGGCAAGGAAATGAGAGTTACTATGTAGGTTGCAAAGTGTTTTTATTTCCAGAGGTCAAAGTCATTCAATCTCATTTAACACTGCTTCATTAGGTGGTGCCTACGTCAAAGGGAGACAAAACCTTCCCCGTATCTTATGCAGCAGTAGCCGGGCGTGCACCTTCTCCTCCGCAGGAGGTTTTGGATGACTTCTCTCCACTACGGCCAAAGAAAATTGAAGGTGGTCGCCGCACAAGGGGCACAACAGATATTCCCACGACGGAGACAATACCGGAAAGGGATGAGTCTAGAGCGGACCTTGACCAAGGAAAAACAATGGAGGAACTTATGCTCGAAAACCAGCAACTGCGACAGGCAACTGATAATCTCAGCCGGCGCCTGCACACATGGGAAGTTAATGCACGGGATTCCCGTGCAATGCTAGACCGTAGTCTTATGCTCTATCGGAATAAACCCGGAACTGAAGGTGGGAGCTTCGGGAGCGTGGGGGATGATAGAACTGCAGATAGGGAGAAGGAATTACAGATTGAGATTCGGAGTTTGAGTGGTAAAGTGGTGGAGTTAGAAGCGGAGATGGAACAGTTGAAGTCAGCACTCGACCGGGAGAAGAAAGAAAATGAGAGGTCAACGAAGAAGGCAAACTACTACAAGGAGAGGTGGGATAAGTTGAAGATGGATGCAAGGGCGAAGGAGTTGAGGAAGCAACAGGAGGGAGGGGGCGCGATGCCTACGATAGGTGAGGCTACTCCGAGAAGTGGGGTAAGTCGGAGGGGGAGCCTAGGGGCATCATAGTGGTGGATATATTTTGCATTCTCAGGAGTTCGATCTTTGTTTATTAGTTGCTGCTTTCCGGAGTTAGGCGAATCACGTGAAACAAGAAGCTTACCTAATGCGAGACTATCCCTTAACCGTTGTTGCAGCTGAGCCTCATCGGGAACCGGCTTCTCGTAGCTCAAAGCTCCACATCCCACTTTACTTTGCACTGAGGAGCTCTTCACAGCTTTTTCACAGTTTCACACTTTTGTGTGCCCCGCCTTGAAGTTGGAATTCTCACCGCTTTCAAGAACGTGTTCCGCGTCCATACTTCAAGATCATAATGGCTTCCGACGCCCCACTTCCCACTGTTAATAACCCATTCATCTCATCTCACCCCTCCACATCCGGGCTTAAAATTGCCCTGCACCCATTAGCACTCTTGAGTATCTCAGACTATATAACGCGACATACACTTCGACAAAATACTGGGCCCATAGTCGGTGCATTGCTGGGGACACAGCAGGGGAGGGATATTGCTATTGAGCAAGCGTATGAGGTGAAAGTCGTGGAGAATGGGGAAGAGGAAAATGCTATGATTGAGGTTGAGGGAGAAGGGGAGGTGCTGATTGATGAGAACTGGTTTGACAAGAGATTAAAGTTGTGTAAGTATGATACTCCACCCCAAAGTGTAGCAGTTAAAACTCACCAAAAGCTGAATGAGTGGAATAGTTAAGGATACCCACCCCACTATGGACCTTCTAGGATGGTATTCTACGACAAGCTCCCCGAGCTTTCACCCTAACTGGAAACATGTCACTGCGCATCGGAGTTTACAGAAGTATAATGAGTCGCTGATTCTTCTCTTATTAAATCCGTACTCTGCTGGAGTGTCTGTGGGAGGGAAGCTGCCGCTGGGAATTTATGAGAGTGTGATAGAAGGTGGAGATGCACAAGCACCAGCACAACAAGGCGAAGGAGGAGGGGTATTAAAGTTCGTTCCGGCGGAGTATACAGTTGAGACGGGAGAGGCGGAGATGATTGGGGTAGATTTTATCGCGAAGGGGGGATGGGGGAATGCAGCTGCTGTAGGGGCAGGTACTGGGGACGTGGGGAAAGCAGTGTCAAGTCCACAAGGGCAAGCTGCCAGTCAGTCAGCAAGTGGGGATATGGTGGTGGGAGAGCCGCAGGGGGGGGTGGCAAAGGACGAGAAGACAGAGGAATTGGCTACTGCAGCGCAAGGTTCAGATTTTGCGGGCACACAGAACGATGAACGTGAGTCCTCAGAATATCTCACCGGACAACGTCTGGAGACTTTTGATGACCTAACCTCCCATTTCTAGTCCTTGCCAACCTAACCGCCAAAGCCAACGCTATCCGCATGCTCCATTCCCGTATCGTCCTTCTCAAGAAATACCTCGAACACCTCCCACAGATGCAATCTGCCACCAGCTCTATCCCCCCATCGGAAGTCTTACCTATTTCCCACCCTCTTCTGCGTGCAATAAAATCCCTCACCCATTCCCGCCTTCCATTGCTTATCCCCGCGGACGAAAAGGCATTTAAGCAGGAGGCGCTGGCAGAGCAAAGTGATGTTGCGCTTGTGGCTCTTCTTGGGACATTGACGAGGAGCGTGGAGGAAATGAAGGAGGTACAAAGGAGGTTTAATGTTGTGGAACAGGCCGGGCAGAGAGAGGGACCTAGGGGTGCTGGTGGGGACAGGGAAGGCGGAAGGGAAGTTGGGGATGGTAGGAGGATGACTGAGAGGGGAATGGGGAGGGAGATGGGGAGGGAGGGGAGTAGTTTAGGGTTTGATTTGAAGGGCTTAATGAGGGCCGCAGCGGGTAGGGGCTAGTTGGGTGGGTATATCAAAGTCGTAGATCATCGAATACGACTCGGAATACGGAGTTTGGGTTTGATTTTATTGGTTTAGTTCACTGGCCCTCACGCTTGTACCGCATGCGGAATAATAAAAATGGAGTGATATCAACCCGCAGAATTACCCTCTACTTACACGTTATGCTAACAATACAAAACAATAGCGTGCAGTCACACCTAATAAGCAGGCCTGGACTACTTAGGCTCACGAACATTCGAACATTCTCTCTCCGCCACGCTTTCTGTCAACCGATCTAAATATTGAACACATTATCAAGCAGTGGTAGTTAATCCAAAGAGCGGCGAACGATAACTGCAGCACCTTGGCACAATAAATCTAGCAAATTTTGGATTGACCACCCCACAAGTCATAGCGGCTCCGGTCCAGTTATCGTGGAGTTTCTGCCGAGGGCCAGACTTCTCGGGGTGAGGGGTTAATGATGAGAACGCTAGAACGCTAGAGACTTGGCACTGGTTTGCTTTAATTTAATTATACAAAGGTAGGTACAAGGCACTAAGCCTCCTTCCTAATTGGGAAATAGAAGCTTAAATGATATCGACCTACATATCTAGCGGCCTAGAGCATATGGATCAATGGGCAACGTCCCGAATTTTGGCACAAGTACTGATGAAATACGCCGTGCGTCGGATCACCGTGAGTTACGTTATCCCCCAATGTGTAAACTATACTACTCTGAGCTTGCTATGGAGAAACTTAGTGGCCATGAACCT